AAAGTAGAGCAAAGCCACTATGCAACAGTCAATGGGGTGAGCCAGTGGGGCCGGTGCCTCAAATGCTCCCCGTTGCCTCTTAGTGCCCCCTGCTGGCCCCCTTGCCTCATAGCTCCCCCTAAGGCATCCCACTGCCCCCCAGGGGGTGGTACCACCCACTTTGGGAACCACTGATGTAGTAGTTCTTTATAATTCACTGTTTTGTTTAGATCTAGAACATTCAGATATACCATAGCTTCCATGGTTGACATCCAGATTGGGACCTTTGTATAGTGATTTCATTTTAGTTTTTCCCAAACCCCTAGCAAGGTGTTTCTAATTTGATGTCTTTGAAAATACAAATGGGATGTATTTTCCCCCTCCCATATGAACATGTGCCAGCCAATCTGCAGGTCATGTCCTTCTAATATTAACACTCTTTTATTTTTCAAATTTACTCAATCTTTAATCCATGTTACTATTGCAGCCTGATAGTAGTGTTCCTAATCTGGAAGTCCGAACCCTCCCTTATTTTTACTATCCTGCAGGAGCTTTAGTTTTATCCGGGCCTTTTTCCCTTGCCAAATAAATTTTGTAATTGCTTTATCAAATAAGGATTTGCCTTGTTTGATTAGAATTGTTTGAAAGAGGAATGATAACTTGGGTTGTATAGTCATCTTAATGGTAGCAATTCTCCCTGTCAACGATATCTAAAGTTTCTCCCAATTTTCCAAATCTTTTTGTATTTGTTTTAATAATTTCCATAATTATCTGCTTTTATCAATGAGCATTTAACCATCAACCACACCACACCAACTAAGATTTTCAGGTTTTTTGTCATTTGGATCCCCGATTTCTTCTTCTTCTGCTTCACAGTCATATTCTTCGTTAATATCTTTGTGTTTTCTTTATTTATTTTTGTCCTGCCACTCTGCCAAATTCTTCAATTTCCTGTAGCAATATATTTTCTGTTTCCAAAGGGTCCTCTATGATGAATGCCATATCATTGGCAAATGCTTGCATTTTTTATTTTTCTGTTCTGATTCTTAGTCCTTTTATTTCTTGGTTATGTCTAATTTGTGTTAATAGCACCTCTGTTGCAATGATAAATAGTAGTGGCGATAGCAGCACCCATCTTACTCTTTTTGATATATTGAATTTTTCCATTACTTTTTTTTTCTGTTACTTATTTTTCCGTTCAAGATTATCTTTGCTGTTTGAGTGGTGTATATGGTTTTGATCGTGTCTATAAATTTTTCTACAAAGTTCATCAGATGCAATTGGTTAATAAAAAATTTCCAATTCAAATTATCGAACGCTTTTTGTGCATCCATAAATATCAATGCCACTTGCTTATCTGAGTGTGCCTCATAGTACTCTAATACATTCATTATCATTCTGATATTATTTGTTAAATGTCTCTTTAGTACAAATCCATTTTGGTCAGGGTGGATGTATTCATTTAAAATTTTCTTGACCCTGTCCACGATTATTGTGACAAATATTTTGTAATCAACATTGAATAGTGAAATCAATCTATAGTTTTCGATCTGGTGGTCATCGGTATTCTCTTTTAGAATAAGCGTAATGTAAGCCTCTGTCCATGAATTTTGGAGTTTTGCCTGTTCTAATGTTTCACTATACAAATGCAACAATAACTGTTCCGATGGTGTTTGAATTTCTTTATATAACTCTGCGGGAATCCCATCTGGTCCCGGTGTTTTATTGCATTTTTGTCTGTTAATTGCCTCTTTCATTTCGGTTATTGTAATTTCAGCATTTAACATTTCTTTGTGAGGTCTGGAATTGTAGGTATGTTTCTCTCATTCAAATATCATTTAATCTTTTCTTCTGGTATCTCATCCTGGGTATATAATGTTGCAAAATATTTCTGAGCAATGGTTTGTTTTTCTTCTGCCAAATGATGTGGGATTTCATTTTCATCCTGTAGGCTTTGTATTATTTTTTTCTACATCTCTTTTTTCAGTTTATGGGCCAACCATCTCCCTGGTTTGTTAGCATGCTCAAAGTAGTTTTCTAAGGAGGAGACACATAAGGAAAGCCGGCGAGAAGTGCCGAAGGAGAGTAAAGGAAATATGACCGGGACAGTGACTGTGCATATTATAAGAAAGAGGACATTTGGTAATGAGGAGAGTTAATGGTGAATGTATAAAGAACATTAAATACAGCCCTCACCAGTCCACTCCAAATATTTAAACTGTCTGTCTTGGATGATTTTTAGCTAATATCAGCTTCAAGTTTTAGTCTCTGGTCGTTTTCCCCACTCTGACAGACAGTCACTATAATCAATCTTAGTCTTTCGCTCCCATCGCTAGATTGCCAAATTTCCCTCACCATAGACTCACTTATCTGTCTCTCTCTCCAGTTCTTTAAATCTCTGAGGATTAGGTACCTCTCTTTGTCAATTCTCACTGCTCACACTCGTTATCTCATTCTTTGCTTCTTTCTCCATTTCTCAAGCCATCACACCTCCGGATCCGACCCTAGGGCCAGTCTCTTACATGCCGTTTTCAAGGGGTTTCTCTTTCAGGAACAGGGGATCGCGTCTCCACCCGCTGCCCTCGGAGCTTCCCCTCTGTACCGCAGATCTCTCCAGGGTCCTCTGTCACTTCTTCCGGTATCCAGACGCGTAAAAATCAGATATTCAGAAGGGAGCCACCATTCCTATGTCCGAGCCATCATGACGTCACCCCGGAAGTCGCCTAAATTATTTTTTTTAAAGGATTATTTTTCTCATTTTCATTCATTCTTCTATTGTTTGATATGGATATTGGAAGAATTAACCTCCTCTTTCCAGCATTATCAGTTGACATTATCAGAAGGCAAGACTGTGTATGTGAATAGGGATAATAGAAATTTCTGTGTTATTCCTTACATAAATTTAATGTCTGTGCTTGTAGTCCTCAAATTACAACCGCAATTAAGCCCAGAGTTACGATGTAACCATGCCGGTTGTTAAAAGATCATCTCATGACCAACCCAATTTTATATTTTTTGCAGCATTCATTAAGCACAATGGCTATTAAGCAAATCCGTAGTTTCCTGACTGCTGACTGCCAGCAGTTCAGCAGTTCAATCTTCACCAGCTCAAGGTTGAGTCAGCCTTTTGTCCTTCCAAAGTTGGTAAAATGAGGACCCAGATTGTTGAGGGCAATATGCTGACTCTAAACCATTTAGAGAGGCTGTAAAGCACCGTGAAACAGTATATAAGTCTAACTGCTATTGCTATTGTTAAACAAACACTATCGTGATTAAGCAAACTCATTTTCTACAATTCAGGTTTTGCAGAAACCTGAACAAGCACCAGTTTCGGGGGGGGGGGAATGTTATAAATCAGTCACATAAATGTGGGCCGTTGCCACATATATAAAATATAATCATGTGACCATGGGGGGGAGCCATCTGAATTTGAATCTGGGTCCTTTGCAATTTTAAACGGTCACTAAGAAACCAGTCATATCAAAGACAATCTGTAGTTTTCAATAAGTAACATCAAAAGTCATAAATACTTAGCTCTGTTGGGTATGTTTCTAGTCCATTGCTATATATGAAACAGTGAGTAAATGCTACTAACATTCTCAAAAAATTATTTGAACAGGGAAGTCAGTTCATTCTGCTTTTGTGTGGCCAGTGCTGAAATTTAGGGAGATGAATTACTCAACTATGCTACTATTTTCTTTGATATGTTTTGTGATTTTAAAAAAGCCTCAAAGAATAAAAACATAAATGCAAACAAAATTACTCAAGCATTTTGAACCAATTATTCTAAAACAGTTTACAGTGTATTTTAAGCAAACCAACAAGAAGCACAATTTCAACAGTGATATTGGAGTAGTAATACATTGCCAGTTGCTTCATAGGCCCAGGCTAGAAAGGAGTGAAATATGACAAGAATATGCATGGACACTTCTGCAATTAGGGCTAATGCTGTTGATAAATTTCTGTATTGTACATTAAGTCTCTATATGTTGTGTTTTTTCCCTCAAGATTATAATTAATGTGGTGCCAAACCAGCCAAAACTGTTGAAGCCACAAACTGTGCCAAATACCCCTGCTGTGTCTAAGGTTCAGGACGTTGACAGTCGGACCCTTGTCAAGAACTTGGTCCTCATTGTAACGGTGATTAATTGAATTGTGGTTTAAAATGGAGTTATATACATACATACAAACGTACATTCATACATACATAATTTATACACATATACATACAAACTGGCGAGATCTGTGTCAGATTCAGAAAAATCCAAAGTCAAATTAGGTCAGTTTGTTAAAGCTTACTTTTTAAGTCTTTTTGAACCAACTAGAATTTCCCAAACCTTCATGATCACTGTGACATTTTAAGGAGCTTTTTATAGATATTTTACATGTCTATAAAAAGATTGCTGTGTTGCTTTGCAGTCCATACAGAGATGATACCAAGACAGAGAAAAAGAAGAAAAACCATTTTTGTTGGTCCACATCATTTAAGCAAAATATTATTTAAATGGGTTTGTTAAAGTTTTGAAGGATTTGCTGAGAAGAGACAAAGAGAAGCTGAAAATTAATCAAGTCCGCATTATTTGAGGGATTAAAAACCATGATTGTTAAAAGTACAGAGAAAGGATATAGAGATGGCTTATTTCATCAAGGTTAAAATAAATATGCAGTTATTTCTGCAGCCCTAAATGGACTTTTGCTAAAGGAAAAGGAATGAATAATAAAGCTTTAAGGTTTTTTTTTTAACATAATATAACAGAGGAGTATAGAATGTAGACAGCATTTGTTGTATTTTAAGATATGGTGAAACATTACCAAAATTGTTTGTACATTTCATCATTAAGAGGGAAGTTACTTACTTATAGGTTTTTTTCTTCTACTTTTTTCCTTTTCTGCACTTTTTTTCAATTTTTATATTTTGTTTCTATTTTTTGCCTAAGTGTAATCTTTAATAAAATGGCTTTAAAAAAGAACTTATAATTTTCATCTTAAACTCAGGACTGTGTAGTCTGTGGATGGTATTCTATAAAATTCAAAAAATATACCATAAGCAAATGGAATACAAACTCCCAAATGTAGGTAGATTCTGTATGAGCTTTAAGATATGTATTGAACATTTTTAAAAATTCAATTCTAATTCAAGTGCCTTTTTAATTTAAGGATAAATACGATAACTGTACAGGAAGTGATTTAAATGGAAAAATTGAAGCAAAAATTAAAAGTGAAACTGAGAACAACTGTGATATTCCCTGGTTTCAAGGTGAAAAAAGGACAGTTGTATTTCCTTTTCATAGAGGAACTGTTGAAATTGAGGTGAGTCTCCTTAAATAATCTTTCAATAAATAATTCAGGAATGGAAATGAGCAGTCTACTATATTCATGTACATATTATTATCTTAATACTTACCTTTCTTTGCCTATTTTTTCCTATAATTTAGAAAATGTTGTTATAAATGGACATGATTCTATTGCTTAATCACCATTCAGAGTTACAGCTGCTTCAGTAAAGGTGTTTTATGACCTGCAAAGCACTTTGGGCCATCATAAAGTATCATGCTGTACACCCTTGCAGTCACATGGGTAGTTAGCAACTAGGTCACATTTATGATTGGTTATAATATCCTGCAGTCACAATTTGCAATTTTACTTTTGGAAGAATACATTTGCTTACTGACTGCATGATTTGCTTAATGACTGCCACTGCAAAAGCTTGTTAAAAAAAAGGACTGGCCATAGGATGATTTGCTTTACAGTCATAATGATATAGGATTGGAATGCTGGTCCCCTTCTGTTGAGGATTTCCTGTAACAATATTTGAGGTTGCTGATTTTGTTCTTATACATAGCATATATATATATCTGATTCTGAGGACATGATGTTTGGGTTAATTTTAAATTGAGAGGAATAAAAATTTAAGTTTATTGCTAAAAATGTGCTATTAATAACAGGTGCCACTTATTTTGAAAAAAACATTTTGCAGTTGTTAGTATTGAACAAAGGTTAGGGCTTTATATACTAAGTAAATGTATATTCACATTAGGTAAACAATTCTTAAATATATAATGCAGATCACACTGTTCTTTTTCAGGATCTTGTGCTAGCAGAAAATAGTCCGGGAAAAAATAAAACTAAGTATATTCTTGAATTTGAGCCAGTCATACATAATTTAGAACAACCTTTGGAACCTTATTCTTTACCCTTTATGTTTTATCATGGTGAGTTTCAATAATTCCATTTTTTTTAATTTTCTAAAGTTTATCTTTTTCCTCTATAATGTTTAAGAAGCTATTTCTAAACCAGATGTACAGGTATAGAATAGATGAACCCTGGCTCAAAAGTAGTAACAGGGATCTTGGGAGTCCTAGTGGACAATCACTTCAATGTGAACCAGCAGTGTGCTGCAGCCACCAAAAAAACCAATGCAGTCCTAGGCTTCATTAACAGAAATAGAATCAAGATCACATGAACCATTAGTACCATTTTAGAATGCCTTGGTAAGACCACACTTGGAATATTGCATCCAGTTTTGGTCACTACAATATAAAAAAAGCATTGAGACTTTGGAAAAAGTGCAAAGAAGAGCAACAAAGATTATCAGAGGGCGGAGACTAAAACATATGAAGAACTATTGCAGGAATTGAGTATGTCTAGTCTAGTCTAGTGCAAAGAAGGACCAAAGGTGACATCATGGCAGTGGTCCAATATTTGAGGGGCTGCCACAAAGAAAAGGGGGTCAACCTATTTTCCAAAGCACCAGAAGGCAGGATGGATGGAAACCAAACAAGGTGAGAACCAATCTAGGTCTAAGGGAAAAAATTCTGATACTGAGAACAATTAATCAGTGGAACAGCTTGCCCTCAGAAGTTGTGGGTATTCCATCACTGGAGGCTTTTAAGAAGAGATTGGACAGTGATTGGTGCAGAATGGTAGGATCTCCTGCTTGAACAGGAGGTTGGACTAGAAGACCTTCAAGATCCCTTCCAACTCTGTTATTCTATTATTGTATCTAATTAATTCATTGTATGTATATCTGTTATTGAAAGGAAAAAATGAATTATTCTTTTTTATCTTTAGATTATACGACTCAACAGAAGATGGCAAAACATACAAAAGAGAAAGGCATCCTTTCACAGTTAATAAAGAAACATACAGATTGGTTCGAGTCTAAGAATCAGCATATTGCTACAATAGAATGTAAGTATTGTGAGGATATTCTGTTCCTGTACACATAATTTTGCAAGTCAAACAAACCCACATTGTTCTCAGGTAACTGATTTTGATGTTTTATCAATGAACAGTCTTTATGTGCAGTTTTTTCATATGTTTTTAGTAAGACGGAGAAAGATCTAAAGTTGATTGCAGCCTATGGCATGCCCCAACACATGCAGTATTTTTGCTACTTGCAAAGATGATACCACCAGTTTTGGGGTCATAGTACCTACCTAAAGAGCAACCAAAGTCCAGCTTTACCCAAAGGATATGAGAAGCTATGGAACTTACATGGAAGCTATGATCACCTATATTACCCATATGCCATCAAGTAGGAAATATATGCAATGTATTGACACATTTTTAAAGACCAGGATTTCCTGTGGTGGTCTGGCACTTGAAATGAGACGCAGGGAAACGTCTGAGCAAATGCCAGCCCCGAGTAAATTCAGGTAGCAGTATTTATTTAAGAAAGAAATCAAAAGTACAGAATCAATAACAAATGACCTCAACCGAATGAGAATATGCAGCTGTGGAAAGTCCCATGAGAATATACAGGCACGAAAGGTCCCATGGGAATGGCTCGGCTGTGTACCATGAACTTTCACCTATATTCCTGGTCCTTTTAAGCTCGCAGATCAAACAGGATGAAACACCCATTGCAAAGGCAATACTGCCCCCACCAGGAGTGTTTGCAAACCCTAGATCTATGCGAAATAGCTGTACAAAGGATTTACAGAAAATGATGAATATATTACCACATTCCCTCCTTTTTTATTTATTCAAAGATGGGGGGTGTTTTAGTGGCATAGTACACAGTTCCCTCACGACCTGGTCCCATACGTTGAAAGGCTGAGGTACACATTTGAAATAGATTAGGAATACATTGAATACAGCAACATAACATAATAAGTATAACAACAATTACTACAACTGATTGAAGCAATAAACGTAACCATGAGCTGTCAGGAAGCCAATCCCATAGCAAAGCCCAAAATGACTTATTGAAACCATCTTTTCCTGCTTCGTGTTCAGCTATGCGGTCTTCCATATCATGAACAGTTCTTGTAATGTTAGGCTCATAATTATGTATAAAAACACAACAATGTGAATGAATTAAGGCACAAACTCCTCCTTTGGCAGCTAACATGTCTAAAGCATAACGATTTTGTAAAGTAACTTGGCGAATTTCAGACACTTCTTCATTCAACATCTTAATACTTCTAATAGTATCATTAAACATAGCAACAGTAAAATTATTTAAAATATGAATATCTCTATAGTTCATAGCTATTCCCAAAGGTGGGAAAGAGAGTCTGTATAAGGTAACTTAGGCAACTCCAATTGACACCGATATTGTCCATAGTCTGAAACAGAAACATTAAACAGGATCAGAGTTGTTGCACAGGCTGAAGATATAATATCCTTATCAGGTCCCGAGTAAAGAATGTCTTGATCCTTATGCCAGGACCAATATGCTGGAAAAATCAAAGGATGCCGCTGTTTGCAGATCAATTTAGTCCGATTCCCCAAAGGAACCTGCTGCATACAAGTTGGCAATCTCAGATAAGCAGTCATCTTTTCCCAGCCTTCACAACGCCGCGCCTGGACTGCCGGCATCAAGAGAATCAGGAACCACAGGTACGGAATCAGGAACCACAGAAATGCCATCCTGCTCCTCCGAAACCTCCTTCACTGGTGCCTGCGAAGGCGCCTGCGAATGATCAGGCCGAACGCACCGACCAGGAACCCAACGAATTTGACCAAGATGTTCGACTGCTGCATAACCACGTCCCCATGTAATCAGCTCAGCAGGAACCCATGCCGGATCCGGAAGGAACCGCACCAACACTCGAGGCCTCACTGCATCTGTAGAAGGAGAAGAAAAATGCCTGCTGGCCGCACTCGCAGGGGGGTTACCAGACAAATTTAAAAAATTTAAAGTATATAAAGCTAGATTCAAATGATCTTGAATTGCCGGAAGTCCCAGGAGCTTCCCTCCTTTTTTATTTAATTTAGCTAACATGTTATTGAGCGTGCCATTATGACGCTCCACAATAGCCTGTCCTGTGGAATTGTATGGAATCCCAAATTTATGTTCCACGGACCACTGTTTGCAAAACTGATCAAAGACTCTGCTCCGATAAGCTGCACCATTGTCTGTTTTTAAAGTTTGAGGCGTACCAGCAACTGAAAATGTCTTAATGCAATGATTAATGACATGTTTAACCACTTCACCCCTTTGAGGGGTAGCCATTAGAAATCCTGAATAAGTATCCACAGTCACATGTATATACTTCCAGGGTGCAAATGGTGGATATTGAGTAACATCCATTTGCCAAATCATTGAAGGTTTCAACCCCCTGGGGTTGACTCCCATAGGGATAGCCGTGCCCTGCTTTGAACAAGTTGGACATTGTTGAATTATGGCAGCAGCTTCTGCAGCAGTAAGCTTGAATTGGTGTGCCAACGCTTTAGCGTTTTGATGAAAATAACTATGGCTGTCTCATGGCTGGACAGTGAGAACTGAAGTTACAGCACTGTCAGCTTTGGCATTACCTTGTGATAAAATTCCAGGCAAATTACTATGACTACGAATATGAGCAACAAAACACACATGCACACGCTGCTCCAAACATCCTTGCAACAACAAAAGCAATCGTAGAATATTGGGTGATATTCCAGGAGACAAATAAGAACCTGCTACAAAGGGTAACAAATTATACACATACAAAGAATCCACTATTAGATTAAAATCCTGATTTTGAAAATTTTGAAAAGCCAAAACTACAGCAGCAAGTTCTGCCTGCTGGGCAGACTTCTGCTCTGATGTCACTTTTGTATGCCAAATTCCAGATTTATCTTTCCAAACACAAGCACCAAAAACTTTCCCTCCATCAGTAAAGACTGTAGGAGCATCTGATATAGGCTGAGTCACAAAAAGATTTGCTAAATTAATTCTAACTGATTTATACAAAGATAACCGAGGATCGGCTGGAGGATGACAAGAAAACTTCCCTGGCCAAGAATCTACCAAAACCTGCAAAAACTCACTATTGCAAATCATTTGTTCCTAGGTAGCTAAAGCAAAAGGAACATAACATGTTACTGGTTCCATACCAGCAATAGCCTTGCAGCGCTGACGAGCACGATTAAAAATATCAGCGAGCTGTTCTGTGACACAATTTATGGATTTCGATGGTGTATGAGACAAATGAATCCATTCCAGAATCCTTAAAGCTGTTATTTCTTTTACCTGAACTATCAATGCAGTAGCCCTTCATTCTGAGATTAAAATCACTGATAATGGACAATCTGGCAAACATCTATCTGTCCACCTACGGCTTAAAGCTTGCTCAATCAATGACAAAATCCCCTTTTGCTCTTTATTCAGGGTTATTATGTCAGATGCTTGCTTAGCACTAGCCAAAGCTTGAAACAAAGGACTTAATTGAAGGGTAGTTAAACCCAAATACGGTCTGATCCAATTTATATGACCCAAAAATTGTTGTAAACCTACCAAAGTTAAAGGATCAGGAAGAACAAATTCCAATTTCAGAGGTGTAATGTGACTCAAGAATAATTTATGACCTAAATAAGCAAAAGGATATTCCTTTTGCAATTTCTCAGGACTGACTATCAGCCCTTTCTCTTTCAGCATAGCAGTTAAAAGAATGACAGCAGAATCCATTGCAGCATCAGAAATATTAGCAGCTATCAAAATATCATCCATGTAATGATAAACCTTCCAATCCGGGAATTTACTCCGGAAAGGTTGCAAAGCCCAATCCACAAACATTTGACACATGGTAGGACTATTTAACATTCCCTGCGGAAGGACAGTCCATGCATATCGCTTAGCAGGCTGCCCCTGATTTATACTCAAAATAGTGAAAGCAAACAAATCTACATCTTCAGGGTGCAGAGGAATGGAGAAGAAAGCATCTTGCAAATCTAACACTCTTATATTCCATCCATCAGGTATTAAATTAGGATTAGGTGTCCCACACTGTAGTGGGCCCATTGGCTTTAAGATTGCATTTATCCCCCTCAAATCATGAAGAAATCTCATTTTTCCGATTTCTTCTTGATTACAAAGACTGGAGAATTATAAGGACTAGTGGTAGGCACTATATGTCCCTTTTCCAATTGTTGTTGAACCAATTCATGTAAATGAACTAATTTCTCACTAGTCAAAGGCCATTGATCTATCCACACTGGCTCCTGCTGGAGTAACTGTAATTTTAATAACTCCACAGGTGGGTGTTCAGTCATCATGAATGACAACCTTTGTATCAAACTGTTGCATCAAATCTCTGCCCTACAAGTTAACGTGAAGGTGCAAAACAATCGGTTGGAAATGTGCAATAGCACTTCCCTGCTTTGTTTTGGCAGAAAGAATCCTCCTACTGACCCGTGCGTCTTGAAGTCCTCCGACTCCTCGAACAGACGGTGTAGGATCCGTCGGCCACTCCCTAGGCCACTCACTTTCGCTAATCACCGAAACATCCGCTCCAGTGTCCAGCAATCCAATAAACTGTCTGCCTTCAACCAAAAGAGTTAATTTTGGTTTCTGATCAGCCTTGACATTTTGCATGATGGAAAACACACTAGACTCACTAAACATATCTGTAGATCCAAATCCACCCTGACGAATTCTATCCGACTCCCCCAAAGACAGATATGGCAAAACTAAAAGCTGTGCAAAACAATCCCCTTTTTTCAAAGATTGAGGAACAGGTGAATGAACTTGAATTTTGATCTGACCCTCATAATCCGAATCAATAACCCCAGGAACCACAAACAATTTACGTTTATGAGCTGATGATCTAGGAAGAAGAAGACCCACAGAAGCCGGAGGCAACAGTCCATAGAAATCCGTTGACCCTAAACAAACTACATGTGGATATCCTAATTCCAAATCCTCAGCTAATGGAAGATCAATTCCTGCTGAACCTTTTGTAGCTGGCGACCATATTTGATCCCTACCTCTCTCTGGTGGCTCCAACCCTTCGGACATTACTTCACTCTTTAAAGTAGGGAGAATGCCCTGATCCCTGCTTCCTAGTTTTTTCCCTCAGAATGAAATCTGCACTGATTTGCCCAATGGTATCCTTTCTTACATTTCGGGCACACTGATTTAGGACGAACACCCTGTCCCATTAATCTCTTGTTTTGCTGACTTTGACCCCCTCCAGGAGCCCAACATTGCGCTTTAAAATGTCCAGGCTTCCCACAATTGAAACAAGTTCCCTTTTTAGCATTTCCTGCCTGCAGAGCCAGAGCTAAAGTCTCCATGTTAAAAGACTGACTCCCAACCTTCCTACATGCATTAATCAAATCTGCGATCTCTCGCTCTCCACTTGCTACAAGTGGATTCAAAATTTTTTTACAATCTGTGTTAGCTTGTTCTACTGCTAACTTCAAAAGCAATTCGTTCCGGGCGAATTGATTATCAATTTGTCTTTCAATAGCCACTTTCAATCTGCTAATGAAATTTTCATAGGGTTCATTGTTCCCTTGTTTGATGTTAGTGAAAGTTTTCTCACCACCTTCGCCATCAGGGAGAGCCCCCACGGCTTGAAAAATTAACTGTGGGAGAAGAACGAACCCCTCCTCAGGCATTCCATCTCTCTGTTGTTCTACTGTTGTAAAATTACCAGCTCCGTAAAGCTGATCTGGGGTAACATTTGCTGTTCCCCTCTGAACTGCCAGCTGTCTCCATTTCTGATCTAACACCAAATATTGAGCTGGAGTTAAAATCATATTCAACAGAGCTCTCCAGTCAGCCGGAATCATTTTATTTCCATAGCCAACTGCTTCTAACAATGCCTGAGCATATGGCGATCTAACACCATATTCTTTTGCTGCTTGCTTAATTTCCTTTAAAACTCTGAGAGGTAAAGGCTTCCACACCCGCTGCGGATTTAATGCAGCGTCCACGCCAATTTCTACTGGATTAAGTTGAATCTCTACTCCAAATTCCACCAAATCATCTCCTGATAATTCCCCTCTATTTTTTGCTTCTTGAATAGCTGCAGTAACTGCATCTACTTGAACTCTTAAAGGCAAACTCTTATCTTCTGACAAAGTATTTTCAGCGCCTGACAGTCCTCTGGATTTATCTGGAGGTGCCGTCGGCGGCAATAAACGTACCGCATGGTAAGGCGGCAAACCTTCTTCGGGGGGTGCTAGGAGCAGTTGTTCATGAGTAGCTAACGCATCCATAACCACCCTCCAGGTTAACAAAATTGAAGAAGGGGCACGAGGTTCCTCATGCAAAAATTTCCCTATCTTTTTCCAGGACTCTACTTTAATACTACCTCCCTCTGGATATGACTGAATATGTTTCCAAACATACTGTAATAAGTCCTCAATTTCTTTCTTTCCTACGGCATGTCTTCTACTATGAACTCCAAAACCAAAACTATTCCCAGTGATCCCTCTCAATTCCCTGATGTGCTCTTTCTGAGCCTTCGAGAGATCTCCCCCCATACTCACGAAAAGAATCTATCTCCATCCAGCGAAGAAGATGAGGGCCCAGTCGACGTCCGCGACGATGAGTATAGGATGCGGGAAACGTATAGCCTTTCCAAGCTATCACGTCGGAACGTATAGCTCTTCCAAACTATCACGTCGGGGTCACCACTTGTGGTGGTCTGGCACTTGAAATGAGATGCAGGGAAACGTCTGAGCAAATGCCAGCCCTGAGTAAACTCAGGTAGCAGTATTTATTTAAGAAAGAAATCAAAAGTACAGAATCAATAACAAATGACCTCAACCGAATGAGAATATGCAGCTGTGGAAAGTCCCATGAGAATATACAGGCACGAAAGGTCCCATGGGAATGGCTCGGCTGTGTACCATGAACTTTCACCTATATTCCTGGTCCTTTTAAGCTCGCAGATCAAACAGGATGAAACACCCATTGCAAAGGCAATACTGCCCCCACCAGGAGTGTTTGCAAACCCTAGATCTATGCGAAATAACTGTACAAAGGATTTACAGAAAATGATGAATATATTACCACATTTCCAAAGACCAAAATCAATGTATGAAGCAATATATGGGTATGGTGGAAGTAAGGACAGAAAGAAATGGATTGCTATACTGAATAGTATTTATATAAATTACTTGTATTGCTGCAGGTTTTGTTTGATTTATATTAGTGCATGTCTGTAATTGCTTTGGCTTACTATCACTTCTATTTTTTTTTCTTTTCATAAAATTGCTTACTCTGAAAGAAATTAGTGTGATGCATAGTTCTTTTTAATAATGCGTATAGAAGTTTTTCAAAAACAGATAACTGTCTGTATCAGTTATTTCTTCTGGGTGGTCTTCACAAACTGTCCCATATAGAGTGTATAGCAGTAGTCAAGCTATGAGGTGACTAGGTCATGAAGGGACCATGATCTAGGAAATGGTGCAACTGGTACACCAGATGAAGTTGTACAAAGGTCTTCCTAGCCACAGCTGACACCTGCTCTTCAAGAATCCTGGAAAACCTTCAGGTTGCATGCCAGCCTGGAAAGGGGAAATGCTATCCCATCCAAGGTTAAAGATGGAATCTCCCCAGATCTGTGTGGCTCAAACACCCAAAGTCACTCAGTCTTAGTAGAACTGAATCTGAGTTGGTTTCTGCCTATCAACCTGCATAGCTTCCACCTATGGAATATTTCAGAAGTATTTTCCTAGTGCAGGCTTGCAAATTAATCAGAACAACAGAGACACTCGCTAACTTCACCTTCAACAAGATAAAGTATCCTTCAGTGCCACAGTACTAATATTCCATCTAAATTTTAGAACTGCTATTAAACTGCTATTAAATTTTAGAACTGCTATATTAATGGGTGCTCAAATAAATTACACAGGGCAGCAAAGCTGCCCTTTAATATAGATATAGCCAGTTCATTTCATAAGCACGCCCAAAACAGCTTTTGGGACAAGGAGTAGAAGGTCTGTTTTTCACAATATATCTAGTTGTTAGTTTGCCAGGTTCTTACAAATTTTTCCCTCCTTAACCTATGTCTGTTTACAGCGATTACTTTAAATTTCATGCCTTCATTATGTGCAAAATGTTTCTCACGGTCAATTTCTCAACAACATAGATATCTCAACTGCAGCATACATTAAAGTAGAAAAGAAAAATAAAAAACATTTAAGTGATGAATTTAGATCTAAATAAAAAGTAATATAAAAATATGATTAAAAGGTTCCTGCGTTAATGTTGAAAAAAACAAATCAAATTCCATTTTAAACCTCTGGCTTGAAAGATTATTTTAATTTTTATCTGGTACTGCTTTCACAAAGCAATGAAGTCACCTTTTAGTCCAACTTGTTATGCTGATTTATTTTCCAGGCCAAGCACAGGAAGCTAGGAAAAAGGAGTCACAGCTCAAGAATAAACTGAAAAGACATCAGATTGACATACCTGAGGCCAATGTGGTAATTTAATTTTCTTAATTTTTATTCATTTTTAACCATCAGAATTTTCATATAGAATAATTGTATCCAAAGAGATATAATAGACTTCTTGTTCTTGTACACAGAAAGATGTGCTGACAAAGTGGCCTGACTTTAATACAGGTAGTCCTCGACTGCTCATCACAGTTGTAAGTTGTGACAATTGTAAGACAGGCCACCCACACAGCTGACCCCGTTTTATGACCTTTTTTTGCAGCAGTCATTAACGTGAATGCCACAATCATAAACTGGTCAGCACAGTCATTAAGCATGCCATGGTCATAAAGCAAACCAATGGTTTGAAATGGGCTGGGTTTGGCAAAAATCGGAAGTAAATTCCAGGTTTTGGCAAAAACATTATAAAACACAGTAATGTGATCAGGGGAGATTGCAAAGGCCATAATTGCAATGCGGTTACCAAGCTCCCGAAGTGCAGGCATGGAACTATGGGGTTGGCCCAGCCATTGGAACTTCAGAATAGGGCCACAACTACTCTCAGGGAGGTCCATTGTACTAACCAACTAAGTTAAAACCTACCTAGACCATATTTAACATGAAAGAACAGTGTTTAATAAGAAGTTAATCTGAATATGGAAAGAACATTCATACCTTACCTCTGTTAGTTTGCACGTCTCTTGGCCCTTGATAAGTATCTTTAAAACCAGGCTGCTCATCCAAGAGAGTCAGTTTGGTGAGTGCTTAAGGTATTAGGCTAGACAGAATCTAGGATACTTAGTTCTAGTCCCATCATATGCACAAAGCCAGCTGGGTGAGCTTGGGCCAATCACTCTCTCTCAGTCCTAGGAAGCAAGCAGTGACAAACTTGCTAAGGAAACTACAGGGACTTGTTCAAGCAGTTAGCAGAAGTCACCACTGACCTAAATGCAACCCTCCCCCTATCAAAATAAGTATGATATGTCAATCAATTTACAAATAATTGTGAAAGATAATGTAGGATTTCGTTTCAAGGTAAGCTTACATAAGGTTGCAACTTTCAGTGCTAATACTGTGATTTGCTTATATTCCAGGATGGAAGAATTCTTAGTTTCATTTACGGATCATAAATAATACCTCATGTAATTTGTTTTCATTTTGGTCTATTTATACACCCCTTACACATTTCGATTTGCTCCTGCTTTTGATACTTTTTTATTGTAATTCCTTCATCTGATTGAATTAACATTTTATTTTTATTACATTTTATTACATTTTCAGATATAAAACCAATTTATAAGAGTAGTTCACAAAGTAAAAGGGAAGTACAGCTGCCAGTTGATAAAATTGATAAAATAATATCAATAAGAACTATATTTCTAGGCTGTTTTTAGAAAGCAATGAACTTTACTACTGTCCAGTGGAGGCTTGTTTCAGTAAGATAAAAATTCATAAGAGCTTTAAATTAATTGTATGTTTCTAAGTGGTTTGTATGTGTTGTAAAGTACATTTCTATAACAACACATAGTGCTATTTTTCTGATTTAATTTTTAGCTGCAGCATATTGATACCTTAATAAAACTTAAGGCTGAGCAGGAAAAACTATTGAAACAACGTAGAAGAATATGCGCACTTGACAATTATCCCAGAAGTAATAGGGATATTTTGGGCAAGGTAAGTTTGTTCTCAATTTTCTTAAAAAAAAAAAACCTAATAGTTTTGTTATTTTATTTTTCTTTCCTTTCTATATAGTATATGTTTTTCTTACCTATTTTATCATATCCACTTATTGTATGTCTCCAGGCGTTAATATCATTAGTAGTATTAGTATAAGTGATGGTAGTAGCTAGTAGCAATAGTAGTAATATTTTTCTTAATATTATTAGCTTTAGGGAATCATAATACATGCCTGTCAATTCTAAGTGAAAAAAGGAGCAGAAAAGGGCATTATTATTGATATTTTAATTAAGTGTGTTTTTTAATATGTAATAATACCATCATAGGAGCCACTCTGGTAGAGGCATCAGGGAAGAAACCAGGAGATTAATTTTACTTTACGTACAAAGCCAGCTGGGTGACTGTGAGCCATTCATTCTGTCTTAGCCCTAGCAAGCATGCAATGGCAAAATATTGCTGAGAAAATTGTAGGGACTTTTCCTGGCAGCTGCCAGTAGTCCATATTGACTTGAAGGCTGTGTGTAATGCATATGTGAAAAAGCGACAAGCAAAGCTATCGTTTTTCTTTCATGGTACTTCAGGAAAAACTGCATAATTATAAACATGTGCCTGACCAATTCTTTTTACACCTTATTAAACCCAACTTTTTGTTTATGTCAGAATTTTCTTGAAGAAAGACTTCTGAGTTCGTTTCTCTTTTTTTTGGGGGGGGGGGGGAAATGTTGTGGACCTAACATAAAGTTTAGCCTCAAAACTGAGTAGCGTAATCTCCCAAATAGATTAAGCACATGGGAAGGCTAAGTTCCTTCCTTTACACATTTTACAAAATAACCCTTTGCTTAATTTTGGTGCAAGATTTCACACTTAGCACAAATTGAAGACGATGAAGTAGCAAAGGTCATTTCCTGGCATTTGACAAGTGATATGGATTGTATAGTCACTTTGACAACAGCTGCTGCATGTCGTATCTTTGAGGAGACTAACGGTACACAACAAGTGTTGCCTCTTGATTGTATTCATAAGAAGAATCTTCCAGATTGGAACAGGTAAAGTTTTGTTTTCTTCTCCAAATGTAATTAATATTTTATTTCCAAATGTAATAATTCTGACATTTTTAGATTTTTTTTATTTAGTCGTCCCCTGTCCCCCCCAGTTACTGGGAACATAAGAACATACAAATGTTGGACATCATTTAATTCGTGTTCCTGCATTGAGAATGAGATTGGCTTAAATGGTCCCTTCCAATTCTAAAAGCTATCAACTCTAAAGTTTATTTCCTTGCTTAAAACTAGAGCTGAGTTGGAAGGGATGAGGAAGGGTGCTAGTTCATAAATTTATTTCCACATTTCAATCTGTTTTAGAGTTCAGTCTGTTTTAGAGCTATCATGCCCAAGGAAGGACTAGAATGCATAGTCTCCAGTTCAGCTCAGGATCTTAGCCACTATACCTGAATTGTTAAATAATAGCTTCCGATTTGTTTTCCTAAGTTCCTAATGGTGATTTACTTTTGAAAGAATGGATTTGTCTCATATTCTGTTTCAAATCCTGTACCTTGTAAATTATATATTCAAAATGCAAATTTCCCCTTTAAAATGTTAGTAGTCAACACTAATATCTAAATGGTTGCCATATGTTTTGTATTTGTCTGACAAGGTCAACAGTGAAATAATACCTCTTTGTTTTAAGCAGACCTTTACCTCATTTGCAAAATAAAAGAAACTCTTTCAGTCCTATTGGAAATCCTGTATTTGCTAGGAACTTGCTAATATTTCCAGAGCACATGGAGAATTGCAAAATGGGTAACTATCATAGAAACATTGTTTTTTAGATTTTTATTTCCACCAACAAGACTGTAAGGGAGGTTGGGCTGAGACTGAATAACTGTGAGTTTCCACGGTTGAATGTGGACTTTAACTTGGGTCTCTGTAGTCAAAACACCTGAACATTATCCCAGGCTGGTAATTGAAAGAGTTTGAAGAAACTATATCTTTGCAAAGTCATCTTCTTCATCAAATACTAATGCCACCTGGCTATTAGTAATTGCTATCGAGAAATTTCTCTGTAAGCAAGCATTAAATAAATATTATAACATAATAAATAATAAATATTATTATTTACCCCATCTTTCCTGTAAGGAAATTATTACATTTCCCCCCTCCCTTTTTTTTTTACTTAAGCTCCCAAACACAAGTTAGTCAGAAAAACAAAAGATTAACTGATGAACATGTAGTGTTATCAGAGCAGAGCACAAACTTCCTATAACCCCCCCCCCCCCCAAAATTGTTTGTTGAAATATTCCTGATACAATGAGGCTTAAATAAATGGCTAGTAGGACTACTTTTCCTTTTACATGCGCTTCTGCATGAAATTTTTTACGGCAGACATCTTGGAACATAGCAACTAGAGAACAAGGAATAAATACAAATGCCTGTGTACCTTGAATTTACATACACATACGCAGTTTCTTAATACCTGTAGTTTATCAAATCCAGTACTTATTAGAACAATGTAGTTGTTCTTACCCTGATTATCTTGACAAATTTTCTTTCTAATGTAGAGGTAATTCTGTTAAATATATCATGATGCTAACATCATATTCACTATTGAAGCTCCATAATAAGTAGGTGTGAATAGAAATGTCAGTTTGTGTATTGCTTTGTATTCTAAATATGGTATTAATATTTCATGTATCTTTACAGTGTTTGGGGTGCTCTTGCGTAATACAATTATTATTGACAATTTGGAAGCTGCCATTCAGTACAGAAGAGAAGTATGTATTACAGTTGTAAAGTATTTTGTTTATTGCTTATATACATATGAGTGTCTGAAAAAGAAAAAGAGTTAGTCTGGCTCCATTGATATTTTATTAAGAAACTTATAAAGGCCCTCTTTCCTAAAGGGCTTGCTCAGTGCTGTGATGTTTATTTTCTAGAAGATAATAGATCTTCCTATGATGTGCAACTCCCTGTTAAGGTTAAGCCTGTTCTATCCAGACCATCTGGGGGTGGAGGTGGGGGGCGATGGCTCAGTGGTTAAAGACACTGAACTTCTCAGCTGAAAAGCTGACAGCTCGGGTTTCAGAACTAAATGTCATATGATAGAGTGAGCTCTGGTTACTTGGCCCAACTCCTGCTCACCTAGCAGTTTGAAAGCATGCAAATACAAGTAGATAAATAGATACTAGTTCAGTGGGAAGGTAACAGCATTCTGTGCACCTCAGGATGTAGTCATGCTGGCCACATGACCACAGAGATGTCTTAGGACAACGTTGTCTCTCTCGGCTAAGGAACCGATTTCAACACCTCTAGAATTGGGCATGACTGGATAGGGAAAACTTTTACCTTTTATCCAGACAATCATAGTTATCAAATACTGAGATAAGACTTCAGCAATATCTCCAGGATTAAATGTACAAGTGGGTGTCATCAACAAATATTGTCCTCACTGCATGACCACAATGGTGCTGAACTTGGCAGATTTATAATAGGTCCTTGTAGTTGCAGCTGTCACAGTGTGCCTGCAATCACATGGTCACCATTTGGGATCTTCACTGCCAGCTTCCAAAAAGCAAAATCTGTGGGGAAGCCAGCAGATCACAAATGGTGATCATGTGACCATAGGATGCTATGAATAAGCAGATTTGGCTTAACGAGACAGCAACTGAGATTGAAAATTGACAGAGTCATATGGTATTACATTTTACAGACACCTTGTTGCCATTGTTAAGCAAGGATTACCGAGATATTAAAAGAGAGACCACTCTGACTTTCAGACAGTTCCCATCAAAATTAAGTTTACACAGAAAAACATTCACCCGATTCTTAGCTAATTTTAAACAAGCCTAATTTAAAGAAAAATTATTGCATTTAAAATGTGTGTTGGGGTGGGGTTTCACCACATTTTTTTCATCCAAGTGTTGTCCCCAAATGAAGGGGCTGCTTTTTTTAGATCAATCCAGTGTTGACCTATTTTGTTTTCAGTACAGATAGTAAATCTAGGCTTTACTTCCTCAGAAAATTTGAAGGGAAACCTTTATAAACAGTTGGTTTAAGGGAAGGAGCAAATTCAAGAATAAAAATATGTTCAAAAGTACCCAGGATTCATGTTGAAATTCAGATTCTTTTGATTCTGTCAACTATGTGCCCTGTGCTTAAGAAACAGATTGGTTGCAGTATGCTATGGGACAAGGGCCAAGCTTAGAACTGAAGGAATATGTTTGCCTCTTAGTTAGCTGGAATGAGATTTCCACATCATATGTAACAAAAAGGTTCGTGTGCAAAAAAGAGAATGGAAAAAGAACTCTTAACCTGCTTCCAATCCGACTCCTCAGAAGCTGAAATTGGAAGGGAAGCAGTAGGTGGGAGCGGGAAGACAGTCTCTTCCCCAAATACCAAAAGTGGTAGAAGGCATTCAGGTTATTTGCTGTCTTAAAATATTATTCTGGGTGAGGTGGGAGGTCATGCTCATTCTGAAGGTTGCAGAATAGGCAGATGCAGATGCTGGTGGTGATATAAAGGGGCATGCTTTTGCATCCTTCTTTTAAATCAAACAGGGTTTGTATAAAATATATAATCGAGAAAGAGTTCATACAGGGCCCACTGAGTTCATACATGGACCCCCGTTTCATCCTATATCATTTAAATAGCAATTAAGTTGTTCTTTTTTAAAAAAAAAAACACTTGCATTTGTTCTAATAGGATCACAACAAAAGCTTGCTTAGGGGTATAGAACAGGGGTGCCAAATTCGACTTCCTCACGGGCCAGATCAGCATTTCAGTTTTCCTTCATGGGCCAGTGGCAGGGGAGTTGGGTGCATGCGTGTGCAGGAGTTGGCAGATGCATGCACGCACAGACCCCACCATCCCAACTGCCTCCTACGCGTATGCACGCTTACTGCGATGGCGTGGCTGGGACTGTCCACGCACATGATCTGCATGCATACATGCCTGCCATGATAGAATGGGCCAGGCCAAAGCTTCCTGGAAAGCCAGCTGCAGAGCTCCTGCTGCCAAAACACCTCACCCCATGCACACACATCTGAAAATGCGCATATGCGCAGTCAGGATGAGGTGGGCCTGGCCTCCTGTGTGCACGCACACCAGGATTGGTGGGGCCTGGCCAAAGTAACATGGGCTGGCCTGCTGCAGGCCTTGAGTTTGACACCCCTGGCATCGCATTACTTTTCAACAAAAAAGGTACTGAATTTTGATAATAAATTCTTTCTTTATATATATAGGTTGTGAAAACGACAGATTGTCCAACTTTATTAACAAGAGACGGGTATAGAATTCTCAGTAATGGAAAGTTTGGAGGCCTTCCAAATAAAGCCCCGCCTATAGAGAAGCTTCGGGGGATGGTTTTTGGAGCACCTCTGCCACCGGATTACAATATTGTCTGCCTACAGAAAGGTGCATTCAGAGTTTAATAAATGAAATCAACTGTTACACATAATGTTTTATTAAGTGTTTCTGTTAAGAATTCAATTAAAATTACTGCTAGATTTGAATTAAATTGATTACCAAATTGCTGCTACTATTATTGTATATTAAACTAATGAAATAGAAGTTTTTAGCTGGTTACCAATATGACGTACATTGCAGCCATTAAAAAAACATTATAAAGTAATGTACATTTTATTGTATCTTCAATGAATAAAATTATTTTGATTGGGTTCGTCAATGAACCCAATATACAAGCCTGATGATGGCAGATGAGATTCTGCCTAAACGTCACTACAACTTTAAAAGCACAACTATAATAACGTGGGAAAATACCCGAACAAAGCTGAATACCATACATATATATGTATGTATGTATGAATGTATGTATATATGTATATGCATATATATATGTATATGTATTCTCACTCAAACAAAACTATTCATCAAACATTCTTCAATACTTTTACTTAATGACAATGAATAGTGACTTCATTGTTTCTGCTAATTACTACTACAGATTATAGTGCTGTATTTTATTAACCCCAAAAACCTTTTTTCTTTATATATTAGACCTCCTTGAGCAGTACCAAGAAGCATTTCTCAAATGTAATGAACTAAATGATGAACTTGAAAAACTACGATCCTTTGATATTTCAGAAATGGAAAAAAAAGAACAACTTGATGAATTGAAAAGCAAACTTGCACTAACAGAGGAGATATTAGGTATGGATGTATTGACCCCCACATATATATTGCCAAAAAGCATTTTGGCACACCAATATAATGGAATATAAACTTAAATAATGAAGTCATGTATAACCAGGCCCCAAGTTTCAATAAATCAAACAGGGTCTTCTATACAGGTACCCCTCAAACCATTTGTTTGGTGACCATTCAAAATTACAACAGCACTAAAAAAGTGATTTATGATCATTTTTCATATGATCATTGTAGCATTCCCCATGGTCAAAGGATCAGAATTCGGGTGCTTGGCAGTTGGCATGTATTTATGACAGATGTAGTGTCCCAGAGTCATATGATCATCTTTTGCAACTTCTGATAAGCAAAGTCAATGGGAAAGCCAGATTCAATAAACAACTGTGTTATTAATTTAATAACTATAGTAGTTCACTTAACTGTAGCAAGAAGTGTCATAAAATGGAGCAAAACTGACTTAACAACTGTTTTATTTAGCAATGGAAATTTGGGGCTCAATTGTGGTTGTAAGTTGAGGACTACCTGTCCTTCAAGAAAGAGAGCATTACAGGTAGTTCTCAACCTACAGCCAATTCATTCAACAACTATTCAAAGTTACAGTGGTGTTGAACAACTGATCCTTTGAGTTCTGGCTGTCCGTGGTCAATAATTATGATTTGGGTTCTTGGCAACCGGGGTGCTACAACTTATGACTAGTTGTAGCATCCCACAATCATTTGTAACCTTCTCTGCTGGCTTTCCCAGAAGTCCATTGGGAATCTGACATGGAAATTTGTAAGCTACTGGGCTAAGTTTTCCCAATTCATGCATCCTTCCCAGCCTCTCTGTGCTTGTGCCAAAGAGGCCACGCACATGCTGTCCCCATCTTCACACCCTCTTGCACCTTCCCCAAGTCACACCTCTTATGCAATCCCTCGCAGTCTGTCGAACCTTCTTGCACACCCACTTGCATTCTTCTGAGTCTTTCCTCACTCCGTTGTAAACCCTCTCTAATCCTCCCCTCCATCCCTGTGCACCCCTGGTAGAAGCCACTTACCCTTCTGCCAGCTTGGGATTCATAACTGCCTGCCAGCTTTCCATTAACTTTGGTTATGGGAAACCAGCAGGAAGGGGTTCACCTAAAGGCCATGGAATCTGATTAACAAATACTGGGACTGCAAGGATTGCAGTCACTAAGCAGCACAGTCAACATTTTATGACTGTATTGCTTAGCAGTGGAAATTCCACTCCCAATTGCTGCTGTTAGTTGAGGACTACTTGGAGTTACTTTGGAGAAGAAGGGAACAAAACAAAACAAAAACCATTTTTGCCAGCTTATCATTCTACGTACAGCCATCACTGTCATATTCTAACTTTTGCCAGATAATTTCTCCAAGTGTGTGGAAGGGGTTTGAGATTGAGGGGAATAATGAGAAATATGCTTACTGGAACACCTACTTTAATATTTTTGTTCCACAAAACTTTGAATCAAAGCCATAGTTCCTCTTTTTTGGCAGTATTAGAAAAAATGTTACTTGTGGGATTAGAATATAATTATTTTACCATATAATCCATGAAATTGTTTTCAATACAATTGTAAAATACATATTTGGATTTGGGTGAAATATATCGAACTGCCATCGTAACAATGTTATGGTCATTTGTATATGTACAGTTAACCTGGAAACATAAATGAAAAGCAGAAAAGGGTAATAGAAGATTTCTATTAAATTGTTATAAAGGGAAATGCAATAACCCCCCATTATGTCTCTGAAACCGGCAAGGTCAAAGCTACTAATAAACATTAAAAGAAACAGTACCAGAAAACTCTTGCCAGGCAAGATAGGAAAGCATGGAATATGGGACTCGGGTCTACCGGAGATGGACGTTCAGAAGGCAGATTGGAATTTAGAGGACTAAGTTCAGTTCTCTCCTTCATGCAGTCTGGAGGATAGTGCCCTGGGCCTGGGCTTGAGCCTTGAGCCTTGGGCCTTGTCTCAATTTCTACAATTCATAATGCTATTTATTCTCGGAGGGAACAGTTTGAAAACAGATTTAAAGCTATTATGTCCTGACAGTGTTATGCCTGCAGGTGATCCAATTCCCACCTTATATCTTTTCTTTATTGGAAAGAAATAAAGCAGAATGATTATTTCAATCAATACAAGAGACGGGAAGGGAGAAGGCTGAATGGGCCAGCTTGGGCAGAAGGGTTGGAGATAAATGTAATGGATTGATTACATGCATTTTCTAAGCCAATTTCACATAAATATATACCATCTTTTAGCATCAAATGGAGTTGTAAATAATCAAGTATTTTTGAAATACGGAGAACTTTATACACACCATTTCATTACTTTTTTACATTCTTGAACCATCCATCTCCTTTGGATGCTTACAGCTGTCCAGTATCAGAAATTCTAAAATTAAAATTAAGATTTATTTATATAGGTATGATCTCATCAAATCAATGCAACGAATTATCGCCGCTTTCAGAAGAACTTGGGACGTGGGCTCTAAACCCATCAGAAACAAGAAGAGAATTGAACCGTTCACGCAGGTTTGTCTATCAGGTCATGGGCAGGGGCTGGTGGAATGGAAAGCAGGCCCAGTGCCTGCAGGGATCCAGGTGGGGAGATGGGGGGAAGATAGGCAGGGGGAGTGGCATTGTCTCTGCAGTTGGCATAGGGACAAACGATTGATGGGTGTGCTGCAGGGGCCAAATCCTTGAGAATGGGTCGTAAGCAGGTTTTGGGGTAGAGGGTCCATCATAACTTCAAAAGGCCACTAAGTGAATAGTCATATTATAAATAGCGACTTTAATATTTATTTTTCTTTACTTATAAAATATTTAGTTTGATCAGCATTATTTGCATACTAAACCTGAAATAGATATATTTGTTCATAATGGTTATAGCATAAATGATATGCATTTGTGATTTACAAATTATATTCCTATTATAAAAATTAATTTATACACAAATTTAAATTAGTAATGTTTAAACTAATTTATTTGTCAGGTTGGCAGTTACCCCAAGTCCTGCAGAAGAAAGTGATTCATCTCCGCCTAGGAAGATGAGAAAATAATACAAAACAGCAACTAATGAACTATTACCAAAAAAAGAAGACAAGATTAATTACATTTGTTAAAATGCAATTGTATATTGAAATGTGTATATTCTACAAAAACCAGAGGTGGTATTCAGCAGGTTCTGACCAGTTCTGGAGAACCGGTCAGAACCGGAAATTTTAAATGGTTCGGAGAACCAGCAAATACCACCTCTGACTGGAGATTTTACAGTATCCTTCCCCTGCCATGCCCACCAAACCATGCCCACAGAACCAATAGTAAAAAATTTTGAATCCTACCATTGACAAAAACATGTTACTTTCATTGATACTTTTATATTTATAAATGGATTATTCTTATTAATAAGAGTTGACTTAATTTTAATAGAACATATTTTTTTGTGTATCATTTATGATATTTCAAGTTATGCAAATATAACAATGTTTTTTACATATGAACATTTTCAAATTTGACAATAAAAGTTTGGAATGGCATCCCTTTTCCTAGTACATAAATGTGTAACAAATTATCATTTTTAATTGAAACATGCTTCATAAACATGAACAATATTTATTAACTGAAAAAACTCTAATATTATTGAATATTACTGTCTGATTTGGTTCTGCAACCCAACAAGACAGACACAGACTTCAACGGATAATTAGAACTGCAGAAAAAACAATTGTTACCAACCTGCCTTCAATTGAGGACTTCTATAATGCTGAAATCAAAAAGAGGGCTGTGAAAACATTTATGGACCCCTCACATCCCGGACATAAACTGTTTCAACTCCTACTCTCAAAACGACGCTGTAGAGCACTGCACACCAGACAACTAGACAATAGTTTTTTCCCGAATGCCAGCACTCTGCTAAACAAATTCCCTCAACGCTGTCCAACAATTTACTAAGTCTGCATTACTATTTTTTTCAAATTTTAATTTTATTAGACAAACAAAAACAAAAAAAATATTAAAAACAATGAACGTGGTGCAATCTTCCTAGCCCACGTAATTGTCTACATTGCTAAATCATATCTAAAATTAGTATACATTTACATTCTATATACATAGTATACAATATATACACTGCTCAAAAAAATAAAGGGAACACTTAAACATCACAATGTAACTCCAAGTCAATCACACTTCTGTAAAATAAAACTGTCCACTTAGGTAGCAACACTGACTGACAATCAATTTCACATGCTGTTGTGCAAATGGAATAGACAACAGGTGGAAAGCATAGACAGTTAGCAAGACATCCCCAATAAAGGAGTGGTTCTGCAGGTGGTGACCACAGACCACTTCTCAGTTCCTATGCTTTCTGGCTGATGGTTTCGTCACTTTTGAATGCTGGCGGTGCTTTCACTCTAGTGGTAGCATGAGATGGAGTCTAAAACCCACACAAGTGGCTCAGGTAGTGCAGCTCATCCAGGATGGCACATCAATGCGAGCTGTGGCAAGAAGGTTTGCTGTGTCTGTCAGCGTAGTGTCCAGAGCATGGAGGCGTTACCAGGAAACAGGCCAGTACATCAGGAGACGTGGAGGAGGCTGTAGGAGGGCAGCAACCCAGCATCAGGACCGCTACCTCCTCCGTTGTGCACGGAGGGACAGGAAGAGCATTGCCAGAGCCCTGCAAAATGACCTCCAGTGGGCCACAAATGTGCATGTGGCTGCTCAAACGGTCAGAAACAGACTCAATGAGGGTGGTATGAGGGCCCAACGTCCAGAGGTGGGGGTTGTGTTTACAGCCCAAAACTGCAGGACGTTTGGTATTTGCCAGAGAACACCAAGATTGGCAAATTTGCCACAGGCACCCTGTGCTCTTCACAGATGAAAGCAGGTTCACACTGAGCACATGTGACAGACGTGACAGGGTCTGGAGACGCCGTGGAGAATGTTCTGCTGCCTGCAACATCCTCCAGCATGACCAGTTTGGCAGTGGGTCAGTAATGGTGTGGGGTGGCATTTCTTTAGGGGACTGCACAGCCCTCCATGTGCTTGCCAGAGGTAGCCTGACTGCCATTAGGTACCAAGATGAGATCCCCAGACCCCTTGTGAGACCATATGCTGGTGCGGTTGGCCCTGGATTCCTCCTAATGCAAGACAATGCTAGACCTCATGTGGCTGGAGTGTGTCAGCAGTTCCTGCAAGGTGAAGGCATTGATGCTATGGACTGGCCCTCCCGTTCCCCAGACCTGAATCCAATTGAGCACATCTGAGACATCATGTCTCGGTCTATCCACCAACTCCACATTGCACCACAGACTGTCCAGGAGTTGGGGCATGCTTTAGTCAAGGTGTGGGAGGAGATCCCTCAGGAGACCATCTGCCACCTCATCGGGAGCATGCCCAGGCATTGTAGGGAGGTCTTACAGGCACATGGAGGCCACACACACTACTGAGCTTCATTTTGACTTGTTTTAAGGACGTTACATCAAAGTTGGATCAGCCTGTAGTGTTTTTTTCCATTTTAATTTTGAGTGTAACTCCACATCCAGACCTCCATGGGTTGCTAAATTTGATTTCCATTGATAATTTTTGTGTGATTTTGTTGCCAGCACACTCAACTATGTAATGAACAAAGTATTTAATAAGAATATTTCATTCATTCAGATCTAGGATGTCTTATTTTTGTGTTCTCTTTATTTTTTTGATCAGTGTACATATAATCATTTCTTATTATCTTGATCCTTCCTCTTTTCTAGCCAACAATAAAACTTATCCCATACTTTGTAATAATCCAATTCATCCTTGTTTTTTAAATTTTATTGTCAATTTGTCCATTTCTGCACACATCCAAATCTTCCTAATTATTTCTATTTCACTTGGAATTTCTTTACATTTCCACTGTTGTGCATAGGCCAATCTTGCAGCAGTAATTAATGAATTATTAGGTGTGTAATATCTTTGTTGTATTTTCCCACATTAATTTCTAACAAGGAAATTTCAGGTCTGTATTCTATTTTGATCTTACACATCTCTTCTAGCCATTTCTGAATTTTCTGCCAAAACTTTTGGGCTTCTTTACAATTCCACCATAAACGATAATACGTTCCATTTTCCTTATTGCACTTCCAACATGCAGGGGAAAGATTTGGATACATTTTTGCCAATTTTGATGGTGGCATAAAACAATTCATATAAATTTTCTATAAACGATGTGGCCAAAGTCATTTTTTTGTTTCGCTCCCATAAGATTTGCCAATCATCTAAATTTATACTATATCCAAAATTCTTCATCCATGCCACCATCGTTTCTTTTACTTTTTCTTCCTCTAATTTGCATTCCAATAGAGCTTTATATTTGTTTTATCAATTTCTCATCAGTTCCCAATAGTACTTCATCTAATTCTGTTTTGTGCCTACTAATTCCCCACTCTTTCATATCTTTCCCATGTCTCAGTTGGAGTTGTAAATAAGCCCACCATTCTATGTCTATTCCTTGGTCCTTCAAGTCTTGTCTCGATTGTAATTCTCCCCTATCATTTAAGATGTCCTCATAGGTAATAATTTCCCCTTGTCAGGGTAAGTGTGGGTACATCAAAGCTTCTAATGTAGATAGCCATATTGGTGTTTCTATGTAAATTTGTCTTTTAGTTTTGTTCCATGCAGTTAACAAGGTCTGCCTAATTTTGTGTCTTTGAAACAAAAGACCTACTTGTTTGTGCTGCCATAAAAAGGCGTGCCATCCTGCCTGTAAATTGTAACCCTCTAATGTTAATATTCTTTTTTTGTGTATGTGATTTGTTCAATCTTTAACCCATGTTAGAGTTGCAGCTCTATAACACAATTCCCAGTCAAGTAGGCCAAAATTTTTTTTCCAATTTTATGGGAGCATTCTGAAAAAGAAATAATAATTTAGGTAATATATTCATTTTTACTGTCACTATTCTGCCCATAAGAGATAATCTTAATTTGTCCCATTTTTCCAAATCTTCTGCTATTTGTTTAATTAATGGATTATAGTTATCGTTTTTGAGTGTTGTACATCTTGCCGAGATCATAATCCCCAATTATTTTACTTCATCTACTATTCGGATGCCCATTATCACAGCTAGTGTTTCCTTTTATTTGTCATATTTTTTGAAATTATTTTTGTTTTCTCCCTATTAATATTTAACCCCATGACTTCTCCAAAATTTTCAAAATTTTCTATAAGTTTTGGTCCCAAATTTTGTGGCTCTTCTAAAATAAAAACTAAATCGTCGGCAAATGCTTGCAATTTGAACTCTTCCTTTTTTATTTTTAACCCTTTTATTTCTGTTTCCTTCCTAATTGTTCTCGCTAAAACCTCCAGAGTCAAAATAAAAGTGGCAATAGTGGACATCCCTGCCTTGTTCCTTTTCATATTTCAAATTTATTTGTTGTTCTCCCATTCATCAATATTCTAGCAAGTATTATATATTGCCGAAATCACGTTTTGAAATTTTTCTCCAAAATCCATATATTTAATTTGTTGTAAGATGAAATTTCATTTTATGTTGTCGAATGCCTTTTTAGCCTCTAAAAACAGTAATGCCACCTGATCACAGCTATGTTCTTCATAATACCCTATAACATCCAGAATTGTCCTTATATTATTTTTAAGATGTTTATGTGGAAGAAATCCATCCTGATCTGTATGGATAAATTCATTTAGGATTTTTTAAAGTCTATCCG